CACAACCTCTTTCAATATCGCATACACCAGGTGACTTGACTTGGTCTAGAGAAGAGCCCTTGCACACAACGGACCTCAGTGTCGCTTTCAAAACGAGTCGTGATTCGGGGAGAGCGCCATGACAAGGCAAAGTAAATAAGCCAATAGAAGCGAACAGAGGAGTTTCAGGAAGCATTTCAGAAGCAGATATTATCGCTGGAAGAAGATATTTATTGGCCTGACGCTTCGGACTTTCACCCAGAGGCTGTCGCGAAGACATATGGTGCAATTGTCAGGTTAGCACAGGCTTACTAATGATTATTAGTACTGGTTTTCATCGTCGGGAGCCGTAATTGGTGCGATTATTGCTTGTCCATCCCTACCCGAATCTTTAAATGGTTTGATTACACCACCATTGTCGATTCTTGGCGTGACGATTACTCGCTGTCACCGAGACTGCTCCACCCTCCTCGTATGGCTAAGTATTTTGCCAAGACACAATCTCTGCTGCAAACTTGCGGAAGCGAAATTATGTATGCTCGACAACTACCTGTCTGAATTCTTTGATGGATATTTTGACAATTTAAAAACAGTTCAAAGAGGTCGCGGTGTTAAAGGCACTCAACAGCTACCTGCGTTTCAACACCAAACTTGTGAAGGCGAAAGTACGTACGCTCGAAGACTACCCATTTGAATTCCCTGATGGGAATTTTCGCAACAAAAATACAGAATCGAGAGGTCATTGCGCTTATTAATCGAATGCCAGGCGAAGAACTATGGAGTAAGCAGCTTCTGGCTCCAGCGACTGTAATCTCGTTTGGGAGGTTCCGCCTTCTGAAGTTTGAAGGTGTGGTCAGATCCCGTCAAATGAGCCACGATCCGAGAGTTAGTGTCATTTCTCCTCCCTACTGCTGCAAGCTCGGCCAATGGTGTTCGGGGCAATCCACTCGGGTTCTCCGACGCAGTTGATTTGGCTGCAACGGCAACATGCCTGACAAACAAATCCTGATGTTTCCTACTGTGGCAGTGGATTTTTCGGTCCCATGACCAAGCGTCTGATTATTGTCTCCGATATGTATATCAGACATCCGCCATGCGCGGGAGCGTTCACCAAAATTTGGAATTAGTCGAGATATGTCTTCTACACATGTTACGCACGCAGTGGCTGACGAAGATGCGTGGGTAACCATTTGTTCTAAGCACCCGTTGAGTTCACCCATGTAGTTGGCAACCTTGCCTTTTGGTTCACTACAATGCGTCTTTACACACCAGTATAGCGCCCTCACGCAACTGCGTTTGTAGCTGGAGCGGTTGGCATGAAACTTGGGAGCAATCTCATCTTTTTCCTGCAGTAACTACGCGAAGTCATGCAACTTGTATAAAAATTTGGCCTCTACATGAGGAACGTTTTTTATGCAACAAACACCGCAACAACTCACCGCACAGGCAAGATCATCTTCGGGACACAGGGCATCTCTCGAATGTTTGATTAATTCTAAGAGACGGCGGAGGAAACTGTAATTGTTGGCACCCGACATGATTGGTTCCAGAACGAACCAAACGGCACTAAAAGGAAGGAGAAATTGTAGTGATTTTACCCAAGCCCGGACAAGCGTTGAACTGACGCAAACGCTCTAACGGAGCAACATTTCCAAGCCTAGATAAGGGAAGCGCAAACATATGACAGACGGAGGCAGATTACCAAATAACATGAGTGATAAAACGCAAAAAACAGATAAGGGCATCCATTTGAGGATATGCCTCGTGTAAAAAGCCCTAGGGGTATAGCGTCTGGAAAAGTAGAGGTAAAGCGTTCATGTGAGCAGAAATTGCTCCCCTGGATGTACGAGGAAACACGATTCAGATAGAGAGAAATAAAATTTGAAGCATCTTTTCCCAGGTGCAAATTTGAAGAGTGCGAATACAGCAGAATTTATTGAAACCAGCTTTGCTCTGGTAACACCCGATTCTCTGATTCACACTTCTGCCTGCCCGCATTTCTGCTTTATCATTTCTCCCCTACCTCATTGTCCACAGTGTTTCACTTGTTTACGTTACTAATTAGACAAATTAGCCCAATTTAATAATTGACCTTCCTAGCCTGTTTCTATGACCTCTTCTGTACGAATCCAATTTTTTGTGTATTCTCTCATTTGTTACTCACTTTATGCAGCGAGATGACGCAGCTTTTGAGCACTCGCGAAATTTATGGTTCTAATAAATTCTGCTGTATTCGCAATCTTCAAAGAAATAAAACGTTCAGAAGGTGGGGGAGGTGCCATTAACGTAGTGACAGAGTTAACGGACTTTTGGAAAATGAAAGGAAAATGAATGCGAGAAACGGAATAAACGCTTAGTAAAGAGTGTAAAAAAAATTCCCAAACAAATGATGCTGTTCAACTGACCTTTTGATGGACAACAGCCGAGCGGTATCATCGATGCTTGACCAATCGGGATCGTGTGCAAGAAGGTGAATAGCATAAGCCAGCACAAAGTCCGGCAAGATGGCAAACAACAGTTCTGGTAAGAAGAAGGAGAGGGTATTTAGGTAAGGCAAAGTACGAGAAGAGGAGTGAGAATGAAAGTGGTGGAACTAAATGGTCCCCAGATAAAACAAATTTCAGCAGAACCGAGAAATTCGTGGCCTCGGTGGGAGTCGAACGCACATCAGCAGGGAAGGCTTTAGAACAGCCACCGCTCTACCAATTGAGCTATGGCGGCACGCCAAAAGCCTTGGATTTAATCACACAACTGTGATTAAGTTCAAGACCTTCGGCCTGCGCTTAACTGCTAGAGCGTTGGCTGTACTAAAGCCTTCCCTGCTGATGTGGGTTCGAATCTCAGTGAGGCCATGCATTTCTCACATTTGGGTCAACTGAACTATTTAAACCTCCCAAACCCTCCGAATAAGAATCGAGAAAGATGAAAAGGAGCTTTGCATATAGCTGCAGCTTGCAGCCGACAGTCAGTGATCGATTTCTGCAAATATTAAGCGAAATTCTAAGATGTGTTTTCCATTAGCAAGGACTTTTAACATCGCAGCACAAACTCAAAATATTTCAGACGATACTCTGGAGGTGACACGTGCCTGGAAAGCCGTTGACCGTGTTGAATTGTTCCCTGATATCGCACAATAGCATAAACTCCCAAGCGCATATTCTGCACTTTCCAGACAAATCGTGAAGGGCGTCTGTTTTCAAATATTTTGGGCCCAACCCGGCCTAAATTAGGGCTTATCAACCTCTCCAAATGCCTGGAATTTAACTTCCCAGCCGTCTGACAAGAGTTTTGATCGCATAAAGAACTGCCAAGCCAATCTTCTCGTTAATCATCCATTGGGTTAGTTCTTTTTGCTGCGCCTCTGTAATCGCGTGTTGTCATTTTTTCACGCTACTAAAAATGTGACTGCTAGGCCGGACACTGAAACCTGGCGGAAGGTGCAGGTCAGGGTTTGAGGGCTTATCGTTGCATGTGCAAACGATTTGCTGGCAGTTCAACTGACCAGCATTAATATTGGTCATTGTGCAGATGTCGGTCGGGAGGGCAGAAGTACATGGACGTCCGCATACTCCTGCGTTAACGATTTAAGAGACATAGCCCACCAGAAATCGACGCGCACCACAACCTCCGGACAGCATTTGAAGCACACTGTCGCAAATCTATGTTCGGTCTATGACATTTATCTCATATATGACGATGCGTGGATAGTAATTGGGTCGGAGACTTCAAGGATACTGTACACCGGATCGTTGTAGCGAATGGTCCTTTTCGATCAAGTCAAGCCGGACAAAGAATAATGACACGGCGGCAGGTTGTGAGGACGC